TTATTTTATATTCAAACTTCACAGTATTTTAGAATTAGAAAAGTTTATCAGTTAATTTAAGTTTAGAAAATATCATCCCTCAATCTAAATTTTTCACATGCCAAATGAATTTAATTCTTGATAGATAAGTCGGATATTGTTATTTAATTTAAAATTATGATTAAACTAACATTGCAATTTAACTTAATTTTCTATTAAGCCTAGTAATATTTCAAATAATATTCAAAATTACTCCTTAATTACTTAAATAAATAACCAATACTTTGCTTTGCAGAATAACTCTTATATTTAAACTATATAGTGACTTTAATAATCTATATAATTATAGTTATTCATTTCTGAATTTGAGTGAATGTTAGCAGTCAACCTCATATATTTACACCTTATATTCAATTTGTTATAGTAATACTGTGTTATATTTATTAAATTTTACATTAAATTCTTTAGGCAATATAGTAAATCTTCCTGCTATATAACTCAATTAAAATTTTTCACATATTTCGAAAATTAGAAGCGTTTTAAATTAAGTTTTTATCTTAGGTCAGTTCGAAAACGCACAATATTAATAATTGTATTGGTTGAACTAATCTAGTAACACATTAAAAAATATAAGTTATACATGTGAATAGTATGAATAGAATGATTTTGGATGCGAATGTATTGATTTCTCTATTGAATAAATCCAACACAACAAAAATCAAGATATTTAAAAATAAAAAATAATTATAATGTTAATATATTTGTAAATTTTCTAAATATATTAAAGAATAATGTCATTTGATAATTAAGGGATGATATTCCTAGACATTGTTGGTATATTTATTTAATTTTGCGATTATGAAGAGTGTCTTATAATCATATAAGGATTTAACTCCATTCTAATTTTATAAACATATTCTCACTCTGTTATTTTCCTTGTGAGTAATATTCTTGAATAAAATTACTTATTTGAAATTTTAATTTAGCTTAATTATAAAACAAATACATTATATCGTAATTGCTAAAGAAAAGTGTTTATAAATTTGATGTAATTCTTAGACTAGATAACTTCAATTTGGCTAAACTAGTAATCTTAAATATTACAGCATTAAGTTAAGTTTAAAGTTAAATAAAAAAGGAATGTATATTTATTGTTATTGCAAATGATTTGATAATCTTTCTAGAGACCAGACATACACAACAAAACCCTTCCAGAAAGATTCAGTAAATAATAGGAAGAAGATCTTATAATTAATCTAGAAGTAGTGTAAGAATTGATCAATCCTTAGGAATATTTAATTTTTAAAATAAAAGTATTCTATTTTTATATAATTATCATAGATAATTATGTTCATTCTAGTATCAAAGTAATTTATGAACTCTAAATTAAAATAGATTTATCATCAGTTGTAAGATTCTATAGAAAATACAGTTCTTTAAAATGTCAATTTAGCCTTGTAATATAACGTAATCTTAATTTTAAATGAGAGTTAAATATTTGGATTTAAAAATTAATGGAGGTATATTTTCACCAATAGAATGCAAATCAATTAGTTCAGCTACTTCATCTATAATATTAATAGAAAACATATCTACTGCTTTTCATCTAATATTAATTAAATTGTAAAAACCCCTTTGGCAAATCCTATTCCAACCCAAGACTTCTTATTTAAGATCACACACATTAACTATAATGATCAAATAAAAATCTTATTTTGTTATTTTTATAGATATTCTTACTACTTAAATGATAGTTTCTATATATACTATATATATTTAATTGAACTATTTTTAAATTATTTGCTAATAAATATGTAGAAAATTGGAAGGTGCAATTTCTCAAGGCTTAGAGTTCTAAAGAAGGGAATCGGTAGATAAATTATTTTTGTTAAATATCTTTATTATCAATTTTCGATTAGAACGAAGCTTGATCTAAATTTAAATAGTTTAGCAATAATTCTAAATTATATTAAATATCAAAAATTTTATTATATGGAAAAAATCTAAAATCTTTATTGGTTAGGTTAATATGATTAGAAAAAAAAGAAGGACGGCAAATGGATGGCTTCTTGGAATGGAAAAGATTTAATACAAGTAGGCGGATACTATAAGAAAGGTTTAAAGCAAGGGTTATGGAATGATCTATTTGAAGACCATTTCACGTGATATAAATATATTTTAATGAATAGTTAGCCTCTAATTTTTTATACAGGAGAATACTTAAATGATTTTAGAATAGGAAAATGGAAATATTTTAACAAAAACAAGATTATGTTTTTATTTAAATAATTATTTAGAGGTGGTGGTTTCTACGATAATGAAGGTAAGAAGATAGGTAAATGGACTGAGTTTGATAAAGCGTCTTACTATATTTCCTATATCATATACACTTCATCTAATGGCGAATATAATAAAAAGGGTGTGAAGGTAGGTAAATGGGACATATTGTTTAATAATTATGGAAATTAATAGATGTAAATACTGAATTAATATAAAATGTTTGTTTTAGTGGTGGCGGATAATATGATTTAGAAGGAAGCGAGAAAAAGGTTGGAAAATGGATAGACTTGGATAAAGAGTTTAGAAGATATAAATAAGTCACTTATAATGGAGAATATAATCTAAATGGTATGAAGGTAGGGATATGGCGGATATTTTTTTCCAAGGGAGATGAATATAAATAAATGTAAATATTTATAAATAAGGAATATAATAATATCTTCGTATATTTTAGTGGTTGTGGATCATACGATATAGAAGGAAGCCAGAAAAAAATGGGTTAGTGGATAGAATTAGATGAGGCATTTAATATTTATAAATAAGTCACTTATAATGGTGAATATAATATGAATGGTATGAAGGTAGGCAGATGGTGCATATTATTTAAATGGGAAGATGAATATGAAGAAATGTAAATTTTAAATAAGAATTAATAATCTCATTTTAGTGGTGGAGGATCATATGATTAAGAAGGAAGCTAGAGAAAGATTGGATAGTGGATCGACTTAGATGAAGGATTTTTTAAAAATTCATTAAATTCAAAATAAATAACCTATAATGGTGAATATAATATGAATGGTGTCAAGGTAGGTAGATGGAATATTATGTAATGCAAAAGGGGATAATAAGAATATAAATAAATGTAAATATTATCAAAGTAAAAGGAATTTAAAATTATGTGTTTGTGAATTTTAGTGGTGGTGGATCATATGATTAAGAAGGAAGTTAGAAAAAGGTTGGAAAGTGGGTAGAGTTGGATGATAACTTTTCTGGTTTTTAATAAGTCACTTTTAATGGCTAATATAATATGAAAGGCATTAAGGTCGGTGGATGGGATATTATGTTTTGTGAGTGGGATAAGGATGTATGTAAAAGAATGTAAATATTTAAAAAATTAAGAAAATATGTTTTTGTATAGTGGAGGTGGAGCTTATGATTAAGAAGGAGGGCAGAAAAAGATTGGAAAATGGGTAGAGATGGATGAAGACTTTTTAGTAGCTTATAATGGTGAATATAATATAAATGGTTTGAAGATAGGCGTTTGGGTTGAAATGGATTTAGAGAAACTAAAGAAATATGGAGAAGAAAAATATGAAAATTTAAAAATCTGAATTTAATGAGATATGCTGGCATCAATTAATATTTATTATTTAAATTAGTTGCAACTGTTTAGATTTTTTGTTGTTGCAAATATTTTTGGAGAAATTAAGGCGGATTAAATTTATTTTTCATTTCATTTTTATTAGTATTTAAAGTTTTCCTTAAATTTTGCATATATGTTAGAATTTTCGTTTTATCTATGTTGCATAAATAGTATTCGAGTAATTAATTGAAGAGCTCAAAAGTAAAATTGTAAGTCAAATTAAGTGAGAGGCTTTTTTATTCGCAAATATAGAAATTTTCCTTAGGATTAAAATAATGCTATTTAGAAATTAACATCTTTTTTCTTTAGAATAAATCCCAAAATCTATTAAGGAATAATAACAAAAGAAGTTGTATTTTTATTTATTTGAAATAAGAATATGATTTACAATAAAAGAAATTGGCAGATAATTAAGCATGCAGGATTTTTGAAATGCTTACAGGAGATTACTTATTTGAACCTAATTCTTCTAAAAATGAAGATCATTAAGCAGAAATTAATATTGAATAACTGCTTAAGAATTATTAAAGAGAGAATTCTGTAAAAATAATTTAGATTCATAACTTAAGAAATATATTGATTTGATATTCTAATTTTAGAATTTTAGAAAATTAATACCTATTTTCTGGTGGGTTAAAATAATAAACAGATCCCTGATTAGAATATAAGAAGAATGAAGAGAATATAAAAAGGATACCAAATAAAAGAGAGTAAATGAAGAAGTAGAATAATTAGATTAAGCTATTGATGATATCCAATTAACTATCTTGTCAAAATTGTAGAAGAGTATATAATATTTCTTATTAATTTTAGATTTCTACCATCTAATTCTTAGACTCCTTAATAGGATAAATTTTTAAAATAGATTGGTAAGTATGTTAATCAGGATATATTCGATATGGAGATATGATTAATTTAGAATAATTAGATAGTACAGAAAATCGGTAATTTATTTGATTTATGTGATTAATTGTACATATTGATTTAAATAAATATTCTTTAGATTTTCTATTATGATACCTAATTTCTTCACTAATTATGATGAGCTTAATGCTATGATTTTATGAGCTGTATTTATCGCAAAATTATGATGATAATTGAGTTTGCATTTTCCACTTTCAATATTTGTCGGTCTATAATCTATAAGATGAGACAAAAATAAAAATAAAAATTAAACACATTTATAATATTGAGAATAGTTTAATAAACATACTATAGTATATAAGGACTAAAGGTTGTTATCTTAAACTTTAATTAAGTAAAACAGACACTTTAAATACTATAGTACAAAACCTTTAAAATTACTTAGGATTAGTATGATTATCAAGTTGACAGCAATTCATATTTTAATTTAACTTCTTCTGTTAAATAATTAGCATTGTCTCTATCATCAAATTATTTATAATATGTTGTTAATGGATGAAATCAATATGTTTCAATTCGATGCAATAGAATTATTGTCTCATAAAAAATATAAGGATATTTTAAGAATATCGTATGTTGCTTATTAAGATCACATGAGTAGATAATTATAATAAATTAATATACAGTAACCTTTTAACAATTCTATCAAACTCTATTGTATAAGTTGGTTTATAAAAATAAATTAATTATCATATTCATTATAAATTCTATCTGTTTTTACTACATATTGTGATTCATAATTCATAATTTATGCTTTATGAGCTATTATTGCATTATGGAACCTTTTTATGTCATTCATAAATAAAGATTCTTAACACCCAATATTGAGGTATTTATTATTAATAACCTTATTATGATTAATTTGAATATGATTAATATTGTATTTCTAAGGTATCAAAATAATATATTCATTTTTATATTAAGCAAAAATTATTTGGCACATAATAAAGCCAAAAGACACTCTATTATTATCTAAGATGTTGCTGGATATATTATTAATTTAGATTCTTTTGAATTCATATAAGTCAAAGCCAAATCATTTGCTGAAAAAATTGAAATAATACATACAGCAAGTTATTCTAAGAACACTAAATTTAATCATTAATAGCCCTTGTATAAGATGAGATTTTTGAAAGGCTAAATTATCTGTTTCATTAGAAAATTTGAAATAAAATGAAATCAATGTTCAGGAGAACTGGCTTAATGGATATATATTATTATCTGAAGATAAAATTACCTCATTGTTTTAGAAACTTAAATTATCTATTATTAATTTGTAGATAAATAAAAACCCAAATCAACTAATTTTTGTGTTTCTCTACATTTATTACAAAGC